AAATTCTGTCAGTTTTGACAGGAAGCTTTTTATCCCTCGCTAGGTCTTCAGTTATCTTTTCCCGACGTTCGAAATTAATAGCAAATTACCGTTTTTCACATTTTATTTTCACCACCACGTTATACTTTTTGATAAAGAGCAACTCGTAACCATATGGAAAACCAAGAGTTAAAAAAAGGGGGGAGGGGTAGCATTTGCGGTTCCAGAATTAGAGAGACTTTTCAGTTTCGGCATCTAATGGCTGCTTCTCCCGTGAAAATGCAACGATTGACCCCCAACTCCCAAAGATGGAGTCCCCAATTGTAACCCCTCACTATAATATGAGAGCTTAGGTCTGTGTAGTTTCTGTAAATTGGCACAAACATTTTTTTGTGGAAATTCTCATTTTTAGAAAATTTTGGCCCTATTGACCTTGAAATAAAGGTCAAAAATCAAATCCAAGGGCACATGACTTTCGGTCAGACTTCTGTAGTAACTTTTTTTCATAATTTCTTCGGTTTGGGATATTTAGCATTGAATTTTCAAATTTTTTGACAAGGGTGCGTTTCAACGAATGTCACGCCCAGGCCAATGCACCGACTGAGACAAAAAAATCCAGGGGGTTCAAGTTGAGATCATATGTGACCTAAATCCAAGAGATGAAGACACAGGTCCTTGCGGTCTAGGAGAAGCGGTAACGGTGACACGCTATCCTGCAGAGCCGGCAGAGCTGTACAACGGGTCAGGACTAAAACCATGGCTCTATTCCCATAGATTTTAGATCGATCTATCCCCGCGGGGAGTCTCACTAGATTACTTTCAGATAATCTGACTTAAATGTCCGTCCCGCCTACTACAAGCTGTAAGGGGGTAATTAACTTTCGTGTCCGCCCGGCTGACAGCTATTTAGCGTGAACCCCCAGGGAGTTAGGTCGATCTAATCTATGGAAATGGGGTGCATGAGTACCGCCAGCGTACACGATGGTGGTGCTAAAAACACATCAAATGTCTATTAATAAAATAGAATTCGATATTAGGAAAACTGACTTTATTTCTCGTATACATGCAATCACTGCACTTAATACAACCACGTTTAAAAGGCAGTGACGTCACAGATGACGTCAGCTTGCACGAAGATACAGTCTATGAAGACCACTGACGGGGTTCAGCAAGTTCGGCTGAAAAACAATCCAACTCTTAAACAGCTCTCGTAAAGCCAAGCAATGCATTCCAAATAACGGAATTCAAACCTCCTGCAATTTCTCAACTTAGTTTCCATGTCAAATATATATTACAATTCATTTTACTGATTCAAGCCAGCTGAGNGACAAAAAAGAGCCAGATGTGTCCGACAGGCCGGACATGTCCGTCAAAAAAAAAAGAGCCAGATATGTCTGACAGGCCAGATATGTCTGACAGAAATATAAAGATGGGTAAGTACAGAAAGAGAGCTGTAGACCCCTGGATAAAACTTAACCTGTTTTGTAACAATGTTAGTGTCGAATTGTTACTGATTAACAGATTTAATATCAAGAGACAATGCTTCATTCATAGCAGTGTAACTGAGGCGGGTAGATACTTCCATTAATATTTTTAAAACATATTTATTTATCCTAGAGTGAATATTTAAATGGACATAAAAGGGTGACAATAGCAAGAGGATGAGAGGTAATATCAATGAGGAAGTTCACAGATTATTCGGTAAAACCCCCTTTACACTGGGGCGGCGTCCTTTCTGCGTCCTTTGTGCGACCACGAAACTTTCATCACTGTGGTCGTAAAAAGGAGGCACAAGCATCTCTTTGGTTGAAAAAATGAATATTAGGTGATCGGCCAGGTGTCAGAAAGTAAAGTATTATAATTTTGTACTCTCAAACGACGCAGGACGCAGAAAGGACGCCCGTCCAGTGTAAAGGGGCCCTAAGGAAGATTGGCTTTTAACACAACAGATTGCCAATTATTTTTCTTGATTATCAATGTTAAATTAAGTGCTCTGCATGATTCTGTAGTTGAGGAGAATGAAGAAGAACTTGTTAGCTTTGAAGTGGAGAGAGGTCAAATAAGGGAACAAATGAAAAGGAGTTTGAATGCATTTATAGAAACGCTGTGAACTGTATACATTGTACATAAAACTGCGATATTTTGCAACACCAGGGTATTTTGTGTTTGTGGTATTTTTGATTTTTTGAATAGATATTTATCATGTATTGTAATATTATAAGATAGAAATTAAGGTTCACAACTAATGTTTTACAGTTTCGTATATATTGCTTTATTATAGTTTTGTAATTTCTTATAATTTTTCATCCGAAACAACAATAAACCATTTAGAAACATTTATATTTTCTAGAGATTTATTGAAGTCATTGTATTTCTGTTTTAGAGGACATCGAAAGAAGAAGTGTTGACAAGTTTTGGACTTTCTACACGGAGAGTTAGGGGACTTTAAAGATAAACAATTGTGCTTATGTAGTTGATATTCAAATAATACGTTTACTCGAGCGCGATTATGGTATTTTTCTTGCGTTCTAACGAATTTTAGGCTGGTAGTATAATTAGATCGAGCAAAAAGTTGTTGAGTGCTGCAACACTTGAGATGTATTTATCTTCAAAGTTGACAATGTTCTATGAGTTGACACTGTTCTAACTCAGTAAGAGGGAGCTTCCACCAGACGAAGCAGCCAAGGTCGGAGTGTTTTTATGTCAAAGACAGCATTCGTATGCGGAAATGGCGACCACCTGAACCGCCACCTGACGAAGTGTGGCGTGTGGTTCACCAGATAGTGGTTCCAATGGTTTATCGTGGGAACATGACGCACCAATGGCAGGTTATTTAGGCATTAATACAATGTAAGACTCATTACAATTTGTAGACTCCACGCAGATAGGACAAAAATAAATCATATGAGAGCAATGTATGTTTTATTTCATTTGCTGTCAAATACAGGGAGAAAAACGAGATAATTCAATAAAAGAAAAAGTTAAGTGTTTTCTATACACTCAAAATCACATGTTTTCCATTCTCACTCAATCACATACGGAGAGCATCTAATGCTTTCAGCGCTTTGCCTCCGTTTCATTCGAATAAACTTTGTTTAAAATAAATTACATTGATGAACAATTACACGTTTTCCTATTTNGGGAGATAAATATATTTCTCCCATCTACCCTACATGAAATAAATTATGGGATAATTTGTGTCTGTGCATAGTAAAAAACGGGGGAGATAAAAACACAACGGGGGAGATAAATATATTTCTCCCATCTACCCTACATGAAATAAATTATGGGATAATTTGTGTCTGTGCATAGTAAAAAACGGGGGAGATAAAAACACAACGGGGGAGATAAAAATACTTCTTCCATCCACCCTACATGACATAAACTATGGGATAATTTGTGTCTGTGCATAGTAAAAAACGGAATTTGGTCTTTAACTGTTCTATAAAATGCAACACAGTAGATGGAATTTTTACTACTTCACCACTTCCCCTTGCTAGGTATGAAGTCTTTTATGCGATACCACCCTGGACAGGAAGTGGCCTGAATACGGATTGCTCCATCCGCCCACCTAGAGAAACCTGACAACAATTCCCTAAGTCTAATGGCCAGACCACTCCCTTTTCCACAAGCACGCAATAGTTTCCTCACCGACCAAGTGAATTCTAGGCCTTCCTGGATGATCAAATTCCCTTCGAGGGCCATTACTATCCGCTTGTCGATGTGGATATCGCCTTCAAGGACTCTTGATGCAACATCAACCAATCCTTGCCACCTTATACTAAGTGGACACACAGCTCTAAGCAGACCAACGAACGAAAGTGTACTTACACAGCACTTCATAATAATAATCAATATTTCATCTGGCAGGCTTAATATATGTAACATACCTGAAGAAGTGGCACCATTTTCATCAGCATCATTAACATCACCAAAAGCAACATTACTGTTATCACCAACATTACCACCATCAACAACATTACCAGAATCGCCAACAAATATTGAAAATATAGAAAATATTGACGAACTTGTACCTTTTCTAACCCAACTTGTGAACAAATCGCTGGAAACTGGAAAAGTCCCTCTGTGCTTTAAGAAGGCAGTGATAAGACCACTGATAAAGAAGGCAGACCTTAATTCTAATGTCCTAAAAAACTATCGACCAATCTCGAATCTGTCATTTCTTTCCAAACTCCTGGAACGCATTGTTGCAAGCCAATTAAATGATTATTTGAGCAGTTTTTCCTTATATGCAAAATGCCAGTCTGCATATAGACCAAACCACAGTACAGAAACAGCCCTTCTTAAGGTGCAGAATGACATTCTCCAAGCCCTGAATGACCAGAAACATGTGATATTGATTCTTCTTGATCTATCAGCAGCTTTCGATACTCTCGATCACGACATATTGCTCCAACGACTTGCATATCGTTTTGGAATAACTGGGACAGCTCTCTCCTGGTTTCGGTCTTATCTAACTGGACGCGAGCAACATGTACGCATAGGCTCTTCTATTTCAAAATTAAGGNATAAAGATATCGTTAGTTGGGCATTTTTTCTGAAGAATGTGTTCCGTTCAGGCCATTCTGACGGCATGAAGCAAACCCTTTAAAGATTAAAAATGGTTAAATTCTCTTTTGTAATTTTTTGGAACTTTTGCTATTTTCCGAGATTGACGAATGTAGATCGAAATTTGTCTGACGTTTCGGAGGACCACATTCTACCTTGTCTGGTCTACTGTGTCTGGTACAAGCTAATATTGCTTGAGGATATTTCCCCAAAGTCGAATGCCATTTTTACCTCGTAGTATCGCCTCATAATGATAGGCGATAACTGATCAGCACATCCAGCGATAAACAGGGTTTCAGAATTATTAAAATATATACAAGACGACTGGTACAATAAAGTGATTTGCCTTCCTTTTGAAATTAAAATTTATTTATTTATTCATAAATAATTTATTCATTTATTTATAAATAATTTATTCATTTATTTATTTATTTATAAAAGTTCCTGACACTTCATTTTATCTTACCTGGTTTAACAAGGCGTATCATTTCTGCCAATCCACCTGCGTTCACGTGACCACATCCTACACCCCCTGACATGATGACCGCGTCGTATGTGTCTGGGGGAGAAAAAAAAAGTAAATAAAATCCGGGCTCTCTCCAGTGTTTAGGACATTCCGTTATGTACTAATATATAACATAAAACAGATTAAAGTGGATACAGATATCCTCAGCTGTCTACATTTATTCCATATTAGATCTACCACAAGTACTCACCGTTGGCAATGTCCACACGGTTGGTACCAACAGTGGCATTGATCAGTTTCTTATAGACGCCCTTCTGTCTTGCCTGCTCAAGCATTTCCTTTGACGCATCCAAGCCGTGCAGATTATGGAAGCCTCGCTTTGAAAGCTGAAAAATCAGAACAATTACATGTAAGTTAAAAACACACCTGTTCACGTAACTGTGAACTGTAAAATTGGTATTTATTAACCTGAATTAGAAAAAGATCCTCAAAAGCAATACAGGCCGACGTCTGGGTTTTAGGACATGCACATGCAAGTGACACTGACACAATTTGGTCTCTTTCTCCCATTTAGCCTTTCTATGCAGCCGGTGGGATCGCTATATTGTACGTTTGGCAAAAGTAAAACAAAGCATATCCAGATGTCAGTATTTTTCTTTCGTCATACAAGCTTTAGGGAATAGCATGAAAATACTACTTGCCTCTTGTCCCGCCAATCCAGTTCCGCAACAAACGTCCAGAATGAGGGCATCTTTCTTCTCTCCGAGTAATTTCTCCAGCTCGGCAGCATCATTACTGGGAGAAAAATAGCTGAGGTCTGCTATATCCTGGGAAGTAAAGGTAAACTTCAAACGATGCTTCCTGAAACCTGTCCTGATCTCAGTATAGGATTGGTAACGTCATACTTTTCAAATTCTTTTTTGATCATTTATAAAAGAGTCTTCTAGCGCACAGTGAACGAGTCTCATTTTGTGAAATTTGCCTTTTCATCAACAACATGTGTATATATTATAATGTATGTTGTTACGATATAGCTGAATTAGATGGATCTATAAACACTACAATACAACGTTGTTATGCAAGTATGCACCATACGACTGAAGTAACCTCTACCAGGGTCACGGATGAATTTTTCACAAGTATTCACAGAAACAACTTTGGCAAATTCATAACAAGGATTCTCTGCTGTGTGATGCACGGGAAAAATACACATAATTAAGCCGCGATCCCGGTTGAGGGTACGGTTGTATGTCATTTCGTCAAGCACCAAACCTTGTCGTAATCCTTGGCCCATGTTGAGTATAACTTGGCCGTCTCTTCTCTGGTAATATCACGTCGTTTGAACTGGTCGATGACCGGGTGACTTTTTTCCACTTGTTGTTCAGCCATTATTCTGGTGAATCATGATATCCTGTACACTTACAAAGTATTTCCCTACTGACTCGTAGGTGATAAATGGGGTTCGGGGACTTGGGCTTGGCCATAAGGCAAAGGAAAATAATTATGCTTTTTCGTCATCTTCTCATCAATTGTTCTAAATACATGCGATGCATTGCACTCAAAGTTTCACAAACCTACCCTGCCACTTAATACAGAAATATTATCTTTTAAAAGGATCAACGTATTTGCTTGCAATATTAAACATAATAATACTCATTTATGAATACTGATAAACCAATCATTTTCATAAATTGACTTACGCACCTGTCGCTAGATAAGAGCTAAATGGGACATTGTTAAGGTCACGGGGGTCCACTTTTCCCTTCACCCACACCTTCCAGTCAGAATCCTACTTTATGATCCAAGCGGTCTTCCGCGGCAGACGACCCCAAGGACAGCTGTACAGTAGCGTCTCAGTACCTAAGTCGTCTGCAGTCAATCATTCACTGAAAGAATGGCCGAAAAAGTGGAAAAAAGTCATCCAGTTGTGGACCTGTTTGACAAACGTGGCTTGACCAGAGACGAGGTGGGGAAGATCTACACATCATGGGCTAAGGATTATGACAAGGTTTGGTACTTGAAGGGAGTTTGAAGATCCGTGTGATGCATACATCATATTGTATTGTTTTATTGAAACCCATAACATTTCATCCCATTAGAAAATTGACGACAAATTAAAAGTTTTCAAAAAAGCAATTCTAAAGAAATAATCCTTTAAACAATCTAAAGAATGCAGAAGCATTAAAAATATGACGCCACCCAACCACTGAACGGGTTTTAAGGCATGATTACTTTGGTTTACACTCCTAAGTGGATGCTCGCCTCAAAAGCAAACACTGACCGGATGGCTCAAATGGTAGAGTGCTCGCCTCCGCTGCAGAAGGTTGTGAGTTCAATCATAAGAATGGTACCTACTGTCTCCTTGCTTAGCACTCAGCATATAAAGGTTGAAGTAGGGAACAAAGCCAGTATTGTTGAATGACTGGTAACAGAGGGCCATGTGGAAGATAAGGTCACGCTTAACATGTTTACCCTCTTCAGGCCTACCCAACTACCAGACTCGGCAACGAATGATCCTGAATTCACCGGTAGATCAGACAACACTACCCGTTTTCAAGGTGTGTGTCAGATCGCATTACACAGTATCAGACGCGACACCGCTCTTGCCTACGCGATGTGATAGTGACGATTCTCAGCGGGGTTGAAAAGAATTGCATCACCACTCAAAATTTGTTCAGGGTATGGTACTGTGTAATGCGATCTGACACACACCTTGAAAACGGGTAGTGTGGTCTGATCTACCGGTGAATTCAGGATCATTCGGTGCAGAGTCTGGTTGTTGGGTAGGCCTGCTCTTTAAATACAGTAAAAAAAATCCGTCCGTCGGAGTTACGTTCCACATAGAATCTGAAAAGTAGCTTATGGAGTTACGTCAGCCTAAATTAGGGGGCATTCCAAGTGACACATCGACCTACGATGGTGTCAATGGTAATGGCGTTAAACTCGCACCAATTTAAGAAGCTGCAGATTTGGTGATGAACGCTTTACCCCCTTGTATGCTGAAGCGCTTGAAGTGGTGATAAAACAGAAGAAAGAGAGTATTAAATCTAAGTATTTAATTATTTTATTGATATTTAGATAAGTATTTTATATAAAATAAACGGACAAGGCCATTTTCTAAAATGTATAATTTAAGGGGTCATCCATTTCTGTCATCCATTTCTGTCATCCATTTTCACGTCTACAAGGACTAGACTGTTTCCCCCCCCCCCCCCGCCCCCCACGGTTTGTAGATATGCGAAAGTGATAATAATAGGAATGACCCCATAATATGAATGGCCCATATCATGTCACATTAATAATTTACATAGGGCGTTTACATTTTTGCTCAGTATAGGTCATGAGATGTGCCATTTTTAGTGAAACGAACTTTTACTTCCCAGGATGTAGTAGGCCTCACTTACTATTGTCCCAGTAATAACGCTGATGAGCTGGAAAAGTTGCTTGGAGTGAAGAAAGATGGCCTCATTTTGGACGCTTGCTGTGGAACTGGATTGGTGGGACAAGAGGCAAGTAGTATTTTCACAGTATTATGGTGTATAGACGTCAAAGGAAAAAACGACCTGTGAATGTGATTTCTTTTACTTTTTTCTCAACTAACACAATTGCCCTCCGAAGCAGGATTTAATCGAGAGAGATGGTGAATGGGTACAGGGCCGTTATCGGAACAGCTGGTAGAGGCTGGTGTGGTAGGGGCAAAGGAGTCCTAGCATGGAGACCAAATTTCTTAGTGGTTAATCTGGTTAATCTGGCGCATTTTAGTTTTTTTAACAAGTGTTTTAACAAACAACAATGTCAGATTCAAAGGCAAATGCATGTCCTTTAGCTTTAGGGGGTACAAAGACAGGATAAAGAGTTTCATTCTTGTGACCTATATATTATAGTAAGATTGTCATTGTTTAATATCATATATTTGTCCGACTTCTTTCGTCAATCCTTTTATCCTTGCTTCCCCTTCACCTCCTTAGAAAAATCCTGACCTCGTTCCCTTCTCTCCCCCCCCCCCCTAAACAAGTGGACGAGCAGACACTTTTCATTATTTCAATTCTTCCATGTTTCAGCTCTCAAAGCGTGGTTTCCACAACCTCCACGGCCTGGATGCATCCAAGGAAATGCTGGAGCAGGCGAAACAGAAGGGGGTCTATAAGAAACTGGTTCACGCTTTCATTGGGCCTGAACGAGTGGATATCGCCGACGGTACGTACTAATAAATCTTAAAGGTAAACAGGCATCATTTCTAACAGACTGTACGTTGAAACTCATAAAATTATCACCCCTCTTACAGCTTTGTTGACAATAATGTAAATGTAATATAGGCGTATTGCACGCCACATCAAAGGTGAGACAACCCAGAAAACAACGAACGTTATTATAACGTTACCATAACGTTTAAATAACCAAAAACATTATGATTACATTATGGTAACGTTATAAAACTTTCTGTGTTTGCTTATAGAGCTGCAAATAAACATAAAATATTGTTCTCAAAAGTTTTGCCCTCTGGTTAAATGAGCACATACCAATATTATACAATGTAGCTGATCATTGTGGCAAGATTAAAATGACATTTGGGCATTATGTTCATTGTTTTCATTCTATATAATTGATTCAGGATTAAAGAAAAGAAAAGAAGACTTTTAAGCTAAAATTGAAATATTTATATTTATTAATTTATTCCATCAAACATCTATTCATTTATTCATTCATTCATTTTTTCATTACGTGTCTGTCTATGTGACAGGACGTTTAGTTCCAGTTTCACCATTTATGTTACTGAAAGAAGGATGCCACTATTATCTTTCAATTGACATGAAGTGTTCTAATGATTGTAGTGAGTCTTTAGTTTACTTTATATCTCCCCCAGACACATATGACGCGGTCATCATGTCAGGCGCTATAGGATGTGGATGCGTGCACGGAGGTGGATTGGCAGAAATGATACGAATTGTTAAACCGGGTACGATAAATATAGTGCAATACTTTGTTTGCTTTCTTTAACGTTCAAAAGTAGGTCAAACTTTGACATCTTAAGACCATTTTCCGGCAAATAAGAGTCAACCTAATCTTGGAATTGAACTGAAACGAAGAGAGTTTTTACTTTTCTGTTTGAATAAATATATTACGAATACTTCTCTGATATAAGGCAGAACGTAGCCATTGCAGCGGCCATGCATCTCACGATATTGTAGTGTGCCGTGTCATTATGTTATCAGTAATTGAAACGATCGAGTCAGTCCACTGTTCGCTTGGACATATTTTCTTTGTCACGTGTTAACACCTGCAACCCCATCACCCATTGCAAAATGTTCAGTTTAACAAATTGTGTTTTTGTTTTAAAGGTGGCTACGTGGCTATGGATAGCATTTTTAAGTACACCCATGATAGTGACTATGGCGGGAAAAGTTTTGACGAAATAATTGACAGTCACATCATGGCCGGACGCTGGGTCACGGTGACCAGACACTTGGTGGAAAAGGTCTTTAACAACCTGGATGGAATGCAGTACACTTTTCAAGTGAAATAAATGCGGTCATTGCCGAAATGTGATTGTTTTGCGTGAGATTGACACAGCTCAAACTGAAGGATTGGGTTTTATTCTGAAATGAAACTTACTCTAATTGCGTTAGATGTTAAACTCTGAGTTAATCAATGTCAGTTATTGTCAGGCAAAATATTGCATCTTATTTTATTATCACTAGTCAAGAAAATACACTTTTGCTAAAAAAAAAACGGTGGGATATTCTTATGTACAGGTACTACCCTAGCAAAAATGTAATCCCTAACACTATGCGTAGATACAGAAAATACACAAAATCATGCCATAAACCAATGTCCTATATTCAACTTCTGAAAATATTTTATTCTCAAAAAAATTTACTGATTGTACAACCAATGAATAATGTTACTGTAGTACAAAAACCAAAGGCCCATTTCAGTATCAGGCCTACTCAACTACCAGACTCGGCACCGAATGATTCCGAATTCACCGGTAGATCAGACCACACTACCCATTTTCAAGGCGTGCCCCAGTACGCATTTCACAGTATCATATCCCGGAACAAGTTTTGAGATCAGATGCACTACTTTCCAACCCCGCTGAGTATCATCACTATCAAATTGCGTACTAGGCAAGAGCGGTGTCGCATCTGATACTGCAAAGTGCGTACTGATGCACACCTTGAAAACTGGTAGTGTGGTCCGATCAGGTTACAGGTGCATACAATAAATGACATTGATGTCGGGAAACATAACCATCACATGAGGGTCATTAGCATAATAAAGACGTCTAGCATATTTATATAATTTGTCCTAGCGTTCTGCCTGTTTTTAATAACAAGCCTGCATAAAAATTCATATAAACGCAGTGAATTTTTCATACTCGATATTGTTGACAGACACATGAAGACATACTTGATATAAAAACTTTAAATGACTCTTTGTATTGTTTTAAAAAGAAAAAAATTCAAAACTTGTTTATTTGAACAATATTTCGTTTTTTTTTGTATTAATTTAAATTTCTTTTACAATAGTTTTTAATTCATTTGTGTAATTTTAGTTTTTCTATACACATGTAAACAGGGCTGAGATGCGTGTGTAGCTCAGTTTTAAGAAGTGATTTATTATTATTATTATTATTATTATTATTATTATTATTATTATTATTATTATTATTACAGTGACGCTCCACCCCCCCTTTTGGTTTCTGAAAATAAATCATTCTAATATTCCCCTCTTGAAATTAAAAAAAAAATTGACAAGCTGAATCATAGTTCTAAACCGTGCCAAACATCACCATTTGCCCTCCAAAACACCATGGCTAGTGAATTTATTTGTCCAAAATACGGTAATGGTCACACAGAGCACTTGTTATGCACATTACTTGCAGAGCCAATAGATTGAGCAGCCAGACGCACCATGACCATTGCCGTGACACATTGATACAAGCGGCCCCTGTGGGGCATATAACTCTTCCGAAGGGGATATTTTAGAATATTTGGAGATCCAAATCGCTTTTTTTTTTAAATGGTTATTGTATGAATTAAATCAGTCATATATTTTGTTTGCTTCAGAAGGGTAATTCAATTAAAGAACAGTTATCACAGTGACGCTGAGAGATTATTAAAAGTTTTTCCAACACAGTTTGTATATATGTTTTCATTTATCAGTCAGAAAAATAGGAAAATGATTTGGAAAAAATGTCCATATTGAATGTCATGTTTGTAGATGAAAAGAATAGACAAACCTTGCCGATAACAATCAGCATGTCTCCATAACCGAAAAAAAATGCCCGCATTCTATGACAGAGTAAAGCAGCATATATGCCAGTTACTAGCTTTGATGGAAACACAAGGGCATCAGCCAACTTTTTGATATAAATTGGTCTATGAGACTCAACATTGATAAACGGGGATTCTTGTATTTTATAATGCAACCATATTAAGTGATATTGTTACAAGAAAAAAATGCTGGATTTAATGGCAGAAGAGTTTTGTGAATTTAATTTGAGCATAAATTGCCATAAATCAATAGTTTATTAATAAAACAAAATATTCTTTTGCTCTGCCTTACCCATGAATCTATGTCCTTGAACCCTACTTTACCATCAGAGCGGTTATCTGAAGCAGACAGAAAGCTACAGTGTCAACGTGGACACGCGGACACGTGGCATCATGTACTTTCAGTTCTTATCGGTCATCTAAGACGGCATATGGCTATCAGGTACTATATTTGGTAATTGGTGACCTTGAGTGAACTGTTACCGTCTAGGTCGAGTTACGGGAAGGCATCAGGCAAAACCAAAAACTGTTGGTTTATCTGGTCTCGTTAAGTGTATATTCACATAGTTTTAGTTGAAAAAAAATTGAAACAGAAAGTCTCGAAAACCGAAATACCAATATTGGCTATATGACACGCCACTGAACGTTTTTTTTTCTTTTGTCATTATGAAAAACACCCGTCGAATACAAGACTGCTAGTTTGATAAAATCTAAAATAATTTTTGCTTGGCCTTACACCCATATGTGTCTCTCATAGCATTATATAATTATTTCAAAGGACACGTCAGCGTCAGATGATTCCCAGCAGCCGAAAGCCCAGTTTGTAAGTGACTAGCACTAAAGTTGCTTTATAAAATGGCTAAAATTGTAGAGAAAAAGCTTCCAATTTTGAACGAGCTAGACAAACCAGGCATCACAAATGTAGAGGTGGAGGACGTGTATGCAAGATGGGCCAAAGATTACGACAAGGTGAGTTACTCCTGTGATCTTCAGAATTTTACGCCCGTGGTAATTAACAATGTACGGCCAATATCATATTGCAAGAGCAATTATTTAACGTTTATTCGCATCCGATGTCTCCAATTTCTTGGAAACGAATCCAAAAAGTATGTTTGTTTATTCAGTAAAACAGACGCGAATGCGTATAATGCAAAGCTTAAGCGATTCATGTAGAATATCTAGTTAATTTATGAAGATCTCATATACATATGTTAATTAAAACATGCCGTTGTTAATTCCGAATATTAAATATCTTTATAAATCTTTCAATGCAGGATCTCGCGGAGCTCAATTACTTTGCACCAGCTAACAATGCTAATGAGGTAGAAAAAGCACTGAAAAACAAAAAAGACGCGCTTATTTTAGATGCTGCCTGCGGAACTGGTTTGTGCGGAATAGAAGTGAGTGGTTTACTTTTTGAATTAATTAGTATAATATTGTGTGGCGTAAAATAAGGTAACTTTGCGGATGATTTCACAAATTGTACGTTATATTGCAAAAGTCTGAACATAAAAATATTGAAATTTTCTAGCGATAAGCTTTCTGCTACAGGCTGCTAAAGTTTTTAAAATAAACTAAATTTCGTATGTTTCAGCTTACAAAACGTGGTTTCCATAACCTCCACGGCCTGGACGGATCAAGCGAAATGCTTGAGCAGGCAAAACAGAAGGGCATCTATAAGAAAACGATATGTGCCTTACTTGGACCAAATCGGTTGGATATCCCGGACAGTACGTAGCAATAGCTGTTCTTTTTATAATCCATGTCACTTATTCGGTTGCTCTCTGAGATGGTTCTTGGGTTGAACATATGCAATATATAGTTACTGGTTCTATGTGGTCAAGTTTGCCTTGCGAGTGTTTTCCGACTTTAGTGCCACCCAAATACTAGGTTTTGCTTCAATATTCAAGTTGGTAGCATGGGCGGTATTATGGCATTGGCTTCTTCTATTGGTCAAGAGAATAGTGAAGTAATATTCTTTCTTGTAACTTCCAGACACCTACGATGCAGTTGTCATGTCCGGAGCTGTTGGTTCTGGACACGTGTATGCAAGCTGCTTGGGGGAATTCATTCGCATCGTTAAGCCAGGTTAGTGTTGTGCCACTGGCAACTGTTTGTTAAGTTAGTCTGGAATAATGGTTATAAAAAGACCTTCTGAACTTCAATTGTGCCGAATGAAAATTGAATCAATTAACCAACATTTTAAACGAGTGGAACCGTGGTCGTTTCTTTCGATGTACAGTGTCCCAAAATCTTTTTTTTTTTTCAGATGTCACTGCTAGTTTTGTTCCATGTTCCCAACTCTTCTAAGATAATGATTTCATTTTCAAAGATTGGCTGTAGTTAGATTATAGCGAAGAACCCAAATGACCTAATAATGATATTGTATATAATTGTTAAATTTTATTAAATTAAGATTTGCTGAAGTTGCCTTTCTTTTCATTCTAGGCGGCTATGTCGTCGTTGACACTATCTTCAGGTACGCACGCGAATCTGGCTATCAAGGCAAGAGTTGGGATGAAATAATTGACGACTTTCTCATGGCCGGACGCTGGGTCACGGTGACCAGACGCCTGGCGGAGCAGTCGTTTAACGCCCAGGACGGGATGCAGTACACATTTCAAGTGAAGTAAATCCGGTCTTGTTGAGACCGTTCGTGTTTCGTATAATATTATGTTAATTCCTTAGGACAATTAAACGAGTCGCTCTGGGACTGATTTAAATGCACAATTCTCAATTTTATCATCTGGAACTACAGCGACTTTGAAATAAAACAATGCTATGGAATTGTACTTAGAGATTTTTATTTCTAATAAAACCTCATATATACATATATAACCCAAAAAGATTAAAGCAACTACTAAAGTAACTTATATAAGAGGCCAATACATGAACGTATTTTGATATCTATAGATCAGTGAAATAGCCAACTTCACAACATAATGCTTAATCAAGGTCTATTAAAGCAGAGACTTTAATATTTGTTTTAGTATTTTAAAAAGGGTGTCTATAATCAAGGACTATCGAATTGTGATATACGCCAAATAACTTTCTTTTATAGATACCCAGTATGTGCTGGTAGGATTCGACTCAAACTTTTCCACACTTTCGTGAAAAATTGTGCTATCTGGTTAGTCCGAGAATTATCTGTCGTTGATGCGCCGTTAGTTTCATGTGTAATACCTACATGTACATATGCACACTAACGAACAGTATGTAAGGTATGGTGTGCCAGTGAAACGAAAACAATTTATCCAGTCTGAAAGGCCTAGTGTTATGTATTGTGTCATCAACAAATCACTACCCTTATGCTTCTTCAGTTCTGATCATATATCGGGAGAATCAGCCACAGAAAACACCCAATCGGTCATCAGATTTTAAAATTAAATTTTATTTCATAGATGTGTGAAAAAAAAAGAAACAATGAGTAATATGTAGTCATTTGCACTAATTTCTTTGCGAACGTGTGGTATATTGTCTTCTCCTTTTGGTTCTTATCGGTCGTCTAAGGCAACATATGATTATCTCTTACTACATTCTGAACAGTAACCCCATAGTTCTTATCAAGCACCTGGCGAGGCATGAGAGAGCCCCTAAAATTGTTGCTTTATCGGGTCTCGTTATAAATGAAAACCCTTTAAAGTTTCATGGCAACGAAAATACATCGAAATAGAACGGTTATGAACCTGAAATAACAACATCTGCTTGTAGACGCCAATAACCATAGTTTACTCGCCCATCATGTGCAAGACAGCAAATGTTATGAAAACTAGATTAAATTTTGTTTGGCCTGACACCTAGATAACTCATAGCACTATGTATATTTATATTGCAAAGACGCGTACTGTACGTGCGTTGGCAGCAGGTGATCCCCAGCAGCCGATTACTTTGTGACTATCACTTTAAGTTGTTTCAAAAATGGCTAAAATAGAGGAGAAAAAACTCCCAATTTTGGATGAGCTAGACAAACCAGGCATCACAAATGAAGAAGTGGAGAACTTGCATGCAAGATGGGCCAAAGATTACGACAAGGTGAGAACATTTTTAATTTTTTGTTAGAAATTATGCATGAATAAAACGGCCCAAGGCTTATTGAAGGAACAAACATTGCCCCAGTATCGGTACTTTCACTAAGGCAAAGACATTACCCCAAATGTAAATTTTCTTGCCTCTCTTTCGTCAGTGTCGTCAGGTGAGAGGTAAGGTCATCACAAACCGATAAATCTGGGATGTTTGATAATTTCTGGTCGACTGCACTGAAACAATAATATGATAATACTGGAACAAAAGTACAATATTTACTAAAGGCGTTTTGTCACAAGAAATCCCTTTTAATTTCTTTCGATGTCTAGACTATCTTGGTACCTTTGAAACGTCACCAAGACGCTTGTTTGTTTATCCAGTACACTCTGTTTATAATCCAAACGAATGCTTATAATCCAAAAGCTTACATCCTTATTAGATGATCAATAAAGATGCCATATATATAAAAAAAAAAAAAAAAAAAAAAAAAAACGCCAAAACGTTTATGCATATGCTGCTGTTAATTCCGAATGTTAAATATTTATTTGAACCTTTTAATGCAGGATCTCGAGGACCTCAACCATTATGCACCAGCTAACAATGCTAATAAGGTAGAGAAAGCATTGAAAGACAAAAAAGACGCGCTTATTTTAGATGCCGGCTGCGGAACTGGTTTGGCAGGAGTAGAAGTGAGTGGTTTACTTTTTGAATTAATTAGTACATAATTGTGAATTATAATGGACACTAATAAAAAATGAGGTATCTCAACAAGTGATCTCACCTATTGTACGTAACATTACGAAAGTTTGAACAAGAAAATTGGCATTTTGTAGCGATAAACTTTCTGTTATAACAGGCTGCTAAGTATTTTAAAAGCTAAAATAAACTACCTTTGATATGTACAAGCTAAAATAAACAACATTTGATATGTCTCAGCTTACAAAGCGTGGTTTCCACAACCTCCACGCCCTGGATGGGTCAAGTGAAATGCTTGAGCAGGCAAAACAGAAGGGCATCTATAAGAAAATGATGTGTGCCTTACTTGGACCAAATCGGTTGGATATCCCGGACAGTACGTAGTAATAGCTGTTTCATTACTTATCCATGTTTTTTATTCGGTTGCTCTCTGAGATAGTTTTGGGTGGAACATGTGCAGTGTATTGGTCTTCTGTGATCAAATTTGCCTTGTATTGCGAGTGTTTCTCTACTTAGTGCCACCCACTAAACTCTTGGTTTTGCGTCATTATTTTACTTGTCAACGTGGTCGGAATAGTGACACCGGCTACTCCAATCTGTTAGCAGGGCTGTTAATACACTTTTACTCTCTTTCTCTTAACTTCCAGATACATACGACGCAGTTGTCATGTGCGGGGCTGTTGGTTCTGGACACGTGAACGGAAGTTGCTTGGGGGAACTCATTCGCATCGTTAAACCAGGTTAGCCAATGTGGCATTTGTAAAAATTCGTAGAGAAAGTCAGGAATGACAATCTTTAAAGTGTAGGTCATTTAACCTGGTGTTTGCACATGAAATTTTGATCAATTAACAAACATTTGATCAAGATTTCTGTCGATGCACAACGCTAACAAAAATTTTCGAAATTGAACTTTCCCTTCCTGGTTTTGATCTATCCACCCATCTTTCATTAGGTTGTGGTTTCATTCTCAAAAATTGAGCGTAAGGTCATAGTGACTGTCGGGAGAAACCGAATAATCTACGATCGCATATCATTTCATTAATGTTTGTTCTTTCTTCTTTTTAGGCGGCTACGTCGTCGTTGACACCCTTTTCAAGTATGCCCATGACTGTGACTACCAAGGCAAGAGTTGGGACGAAATAATTGACGGCTTCCTTTTGACCGGACGCTGGGTCACGGTGACCAGACGCCTGGTGGAGAAGTCGTTTAACTCTCTGGACGGGATGCAGTACACTTTTCAAGTGAAGTAAATTTGATCATGTTGAGACCATTTTTAGATTTTGTCATATATGGTCAGTTCTAAGGACAGATGAATGATCCGTGACAGTGGTGAATACTGATTATCTTCGTATATCATCTAAATCTGCAGCGTAATGGGAATAAAGCAGTGTTATCAAATTGTACAAAGAGATTTTTTATTCCAAATAAAAATTCAAGTTAAAAAGTATTTAGTTTTAAAGCCTGTTAAGATTGCAAATAACTTTAAAGGTCATTTCTGTGAACGTAATTTGATACATAATATATAAAAGTACCCCATCTCGAATTTTTTTTGTATTTTAGAGGGCGAACGGTGCCATCTGGTACGAATTAGAACTATATGATTCAGCTAGTCAAAATTCTGACACCAAGAGGGGACGATTGGTGTGTTTTTTTTTCAGAAATCGAAGTGAGGAGTTAGGACCCCTCTGACACCCCCTTAAAAAATCCGCCACCGTGCCTTCATATTGTGCCCCTTACCTAAATAATCATTGGTGTGAATTCTAAATCTAAGGACAAATGTACGCGCCGTATCATCCCCGTGCACCTTAGTGAACTCCTGTGCGTGCTAATTTGTGCTCCCGTGACCTTGACAATATCCCATTTAGTGCTTATCAAGTGACGAGGGCCTAAGTTAATTTATAAAAACTATTGGTTTTTTCATTATTACTAAATGAGTAATTATGTTTTATATTGCATGCTTATGTGTTGATGTAATTACATGTATAAGATAACAGTACCAGATTTACTTGCGGAATAATATTAATTTTGCAAATATTTGTGCCCCCAAAAATTGTGTCAAATTTTTTCAAAGTGAGAAAAATGTTTAAAATAAACCATAATTATTTTGCTTTGCCTAAAAAGCAAGTCCCTGAACCCTGCTTTATCATCGGTGCGGTTATCTGCCGCAGACAGTCATTGGCCGCGATACAGTCCATGCATGTGCACTAGGAATTAACCTGTCCACGTTCATTATTGAATATATTAACATACACAATAAATATTTTACGACCTGTTAAGAATAGCACGTGTGTAAGTACTTCTAGACCCAGTGTTTTCATTTGAGATTGTCCAAGACCCTATAAAAGACGAATAAATGAATTGACCAACCGCTAGATGACCCAAACGTGCCGACATGACGTCACTTCTCCAAAGGCGATATCATAAACATGAGGAGGTGAAGCACCGGGTTATCGGGTCTATTCTTAAGGCGCATTCAGATTCACACATCGTGTTAGCTGGGTCTGTCCAACTCTGCGTGGGGTTATTATTAAAGTGCAATCATTGATATCAGCTTTTAAAAAACAGAACGAGGTCGTTATAATTAACCCATTGTTGCTCGAGGAAGCGTATCAGACAACTAAGCCTACTCCACTTTTAATTTCGAAAAGAATTGTTTTAAGTACCTTAAGAGGAAACGTTTGGCGCTTTAAATGCATTTGTAGTTTGCTATAATAAAATATTTCCACTACATATGCAAAACAATAAAGAAACATCAAATCGGCCAATGAGTAATTATTCAAATTCGTAGATTGGTTTTATTTTCATCTAGAAGAAATAAAAGTTACAGTATAGATATACAAAATGAGAAAGATATCTCTCGATTATCACTCCATCACCCTGAGCTTCAGAGATAACTTGACACTAACCTCTTCACAATAGCCTATCTTCATCGTGTCAAGTTACCTCTGACGAAAATAGTTTGACCTAGTTTATATAAGCCAATCGAATTCAAGTTTCAAAATTTTTCACCAAAGTTTGGCTGACTTCCGCAAGCTCCATACTAACAACAAAGTTATTGTCGAGTGCGGAGACATCCGAGTAGTGCCGAGTGCATGACCGTACACAAAGAAAGCATGGCGTCTTCTACGAGTGACTACGTAAAATAATGTGTTAAGTTATCTCTTGATTCTTTGCAAAATATGAGTATATCGGAATTGAAACCAGAGCAGTTTGAGGCCCTGCATCATTATCTACTGAGGGATGATGTATTTTGCGTGCTGCCCACAGGTTACGGCAAGTCCCTGATATTGAGCCTTATCTCTGATTGGTCTGGATTTGAACAAAGCGCGCTTTGACTCGTTCGCGTTCATTGGCTAGATCGTTCAATGAGTCATTGAGTGCGGGCTTTAAATTTGATTGGCGGGCGGCGGGGGCAATCGAATGTGGTCAGAGGTAACTTGACACGATGAAGATAGGCTATTGTGAAGAGGTTAGTGTCAAGTTATCTCTGAAGCTCAGGGTG